GTCCAACGGTTCACATACTTTTTCCTCCCTGCTCTGTGAATGTTTACATGTTATGTTCAATTAAACCATGGCAACATGTAATGTTTGTGTATTATTATTTTCAGCAGACTGTGTTTTTCTATTGTTGTGACTTAGATGACGTTCAGAGCACATTTTATGACCAATTCATGCAAAACTCCGCGTTATCCCAAGGGGTTCAAAGACTTTTTCTTGCAACTGTATGTATGTATGTATGTATGTGTATGTATGTATGTATGTATGTATGTATGTAGGTCTTTGGTTATTTTGGTTATTTTGTTATTTCTTGGTCACATTGCTCCTAGAAGCACGAAGCCGAAAACACCAGCCTGAAGATGACGAATGGGACTTTATCGAAACGTCGCCAAGACACTTCCAATTTTACGCGGGAGAAAATCCGAATAACCAAAGACCTACATACAAACACCCATAAAAACCTCAGAAAATATACACACACAGACACACACATATATATACACACACACATACATACACACACACATATATATATATACCTACACACATATATATACATACACCCCCACACACATATATAGAATACATTTAGAATACATTAGCAGAAAAAAAGAGTCTTGAGAGTTAAGAAGATTAATACTATATGGTATAAAGCGATTAGGGAATCTAGTTGTTCTGCTTCACATGCTACGAAGCCACCTCCCAGGAGGTAACAAAGAAAACGCATCATAGGTTAGAGAAGAATATAGGCTGTTAAGCTGGCAAGATGGGCAGCAAACAAATTTCATAAATAAATAAATAGGTTAAAAGAATCAAAAGTTCCTTTTGATTACTAGAAAGATTAACCAATTAATATTTTTCTGACAGATTGGTTTATTCTGAAGGGCTTCCCTCCCCTCTTTTTTTTCAAGATATATAAATAAATATCAGACTCAGAAGAACAGTGACACGGCACTCACCACACAGCTTGCAAAGCCGATGCCTACTAGGCGGGGGCTGATGTGCTTCCAGACGCCAATGCTGCCCTGTCGGATAATCTGCCCGGCTGCCAGCTCCAGGAAGAAGAGAGGGATCCCAATGACGAGGAGGAGAAGCAGGTATAGCAGCAGAAAAGAACCTGTCCAGCAAAAGGCAATATTTTAGGGATTCCAGTCATTATGGCAATTATTTCACAAATGACAGTCCCCTGAATCAGGCTGAACTAAGGGGAAAGATGATATGCCAGTAAACTAGCAGAGTTTTTTGGATTTTTGTATGTGTCCTTTTAAGTCAGTTTTTGACTCCTGGTGACTGCCTGGACAAATCCCTGCAATTTTCTTGGTAAGATTTTTTGCCACTGATTTCTTCCTAGGGTTGACAGAGAGTGAAATGGCCCAAGTCACCCAACTGGCTTTGTGCCTAAAGTGGGACTAGAACTCAGGGTCTCCTGGTTTCTAGGTTAATGTCTTAATCACTACACCAAACTGGCTGTAAGCAGGTTAAGCAAACCCCAAATCTTGGCCTTGGTTGCTAAAGAATGGATCTTCTCCTTTAAATATGCTGTTGGCCTTCATTTCTCTTAAGAGACGAATATATAGATCACATTCTGAAGGCCTCTTGCATTTATGTCTCTGTTGTCTTTCTGTGCTACTTTTTTTTCTTAAGCACCTGGCAAGATTATTTAAACAGACATTTATACCCCTTAAAGCACAGGTCCCCAATCCCTGGGCCACAGCCCACTACCAGCCCATAGCCTGTTCGGAACTGGGCTGCTCAAGCAATACTTGCGCATGAAGCTCCATTTGTGTGAACAGTGGGCTGTGCATGCATGCGCCTGCCACTCACACAGAACCATCCCCTCTCCCTCCATCAGGCCGCCAAGCCCGAAAAATTGGAGACCACTGCCTTAAAAGTGTTGAACCATTTTAAACCTGATGAAATGGATCACATGTATGATAGATTTGTTGTTACCCTCAAAAGGAGATTGTTTAAAAATATTGTTTCCAAATGTTTTAGAAAGGGAGATAATTTTCTTCACTGTCAAAAGGATCGACTTCACACAATACTGTTTGGAAAGTGAGCGTGTGGTGGCCTTGTAAGCTTGTCCTGGGAAACTAGATAACTAGAATTGTGAAAATCCAGAGTCTCTAATTCTCCTGCCAGAAAAATAAGTATCTAAATGGTAGAGTCATACGTGAGAAGCCATAATTTCTTAGAAAAAAGGGGGAGAATCTTGCAGTAGAATCCAAGTCCCAAATTTGGCAGAACTGCCGAAGTCAACTCACCTCCACCATTTTGATGACACAGGTAGGGGAAACGCCAGACATTACCGAGTCCAACAGAAAAGCCAACCTGGGCAAGGATATACTGAGCCTTTGATCCCCAGGTAGGGCGAGTAGCAGGTTCCTCAGGCAGAAGATCTTGATTGGATTCACCCTCAGGATCTCCAGCTATTTCTAGGTCTGCTTTGGATTTCTCCATCAAGGGAGATAGTATGAGACCCAAACACACCAATGTGTACACAGGCACACACTGTTATCTGGAACTTACGCTCCTTGCAAATTCACACACCTCAATACTAGTCTCGATTAGAAGTGTACACAGCAGATCTTCTTTCCTGATCTAGAACTCTTTTCAAGTGTAGTACTAGAAAAAGTTTAACTATACGGTTCTAAATGTATGGAATCTTTGCACACTGACAATAGGTCCCTTATTTGCTAGGAAATGTACGCTCACACGTCAGGTACTTAGTATACACACATAGGTTTTTGCTCTCACACTGTCATGCAACTACAGAGGCATTAGCATGTCTTAAATATAATTTGTGGGGTGTGTGTGTGTGTAGTATTAGCACAATATAAGATGTTTTTGATTATACATTTAACAGGTATTTCAATGGACTTATCTATCTTCAGTCATAATGTGTTTTGGGTCACTGTATACACCATTCATTAATAGCAGAACTTTATGTGAAAGAAAATACTATTTATTTGGCTTAATGAACTGCAGATATAATATGATTTATGTACACACACATGCTGGAGGATGTTCTTTAAGAAGCCAATCTAGAAAACAAACAGCGACAAAAAGGTTAAACGAATGGATAACCCACTCAAAACAATTTGTTGAAATGTTAAGATTAATTCAGGAGCCACAATCCTGGCTCTAAAACACCAGTTTGGAAAAACAGAAACATTCCGCAAATTCAGAGAATTGCAAGATGCTTCCTCCCTTTGTATCAGTGTTTCTCAACCATGGCAACATTTAAGATGTGTGGACTTCAACTCCCAGAATTCCAAGCCAGCATACTGGCTGGGAAATTCTGGGAGTTGAAGTCCACACATCTTAAAGTTGCCAAATTTGAGAACCGTTGTTCTATATTACTTTTTATTGCCTGGACAAACTAAAGGTGCCTCCAAACCAGGGACTGAAATCTAATTCAAAATGTAGGTTCAACCAGGTTAGAAGTTTAAGGATCATTTCCTCAGCTCAGTGTGGATATAGTTTGCAGGATGAAGAATGGAAATTGGGCCTCTTTCTTCCCAGTAAATGGCAACAGCAAATGGAAAACCAACTTGGTCACTGGTCACAAAGGGAATTTGCTTTCAGAATCCAAAAGTAAAACTTTCTATTCCAAGGTAAAACTACCACTGATATAGTACTGGAGAAAGGATTACAAAGCACCAATAATTGCCTCAGCAACTACGTCTTAAGAGAAAAGTCTTTGAAAAAATTCAGCCTGGCCTCGGCAGGATAGAATGTTCTGTAAAGAATTTACCAGTTTGTTTTGGCAATATCAAACTGATCTCCCTTCCCTTCTTTTGTGCATTTATACATTTGGCTGATAACCTTGAGGATAGGACCCATGCACAATTTTAATTGATATACCAAAGTAAATTCTGTGGAGCACTACATTTCTGAATTATGGTGTGTATATGTGTGTGTGTGTGTGTGTGTGTGAGAGAGAGAGAGAGAGAGAGAGAGAAAGAAAGAAAGAGAGAGAGAGACAGAGAGAGGGGAGGAGGAGGATAAAGGAGGAGGAGGAGGAGAAATAATAGTAGGAGGTGGAGGAGAAATAATAGTAGGAGGTGGAGGAAACAATTTTTGCCTGAAAATGAAGGGAAAGTAACAGAAGGGGAGATAGATTAAGTCCTTGCCTGTTCTGGAACTACTTTTGGTCTCATGTTCAGAAACTTAATAAATATTCATTCCCACCAAGAGGGGGAAAAATGCTTCTTTAGAGCCAAACATTCCCCAGCACAGTGTGCTTTTCAAACCCTGTTTTTCCATTTTGGTCAGGGAGACTCAAGCAGCCTCAAAGTGTGCATTCTTCTTGTCCTAATGATGGTTTTCTAGAATTATTGAAACTGACATAAGCACATATAATTTAGATGCTTTCCAAAATGTCCTGGTAAATTTGAAACTTTCTTTTCCCCCTCTCTAAATAAACAGAATGGCGGTTTGTGGCTGGGAAAGAAAAGCTAGCTCTCACGAAATAGCTGTGGATGGGGGGAACAAGTGAGCAAATTCTCCATTTGGGGGGCGGGGGGGGCGACAGGGAGCAGATGTATCTTGAGGAAAAATCTAGATTTACCACGTTGAATAAAAGTTAAAAGTTTTCTACAGACTGGTAACTTTCAGAAACACTTCAGCTATTTGTTTTTAGTTATAAGAACTAGAAACTTTAAGGAGAATAAATTATCTAAATCTATTTCCTCTTCAGTCTTTTACAGTATAAAAGACAAAACAAAAGAAACAAGAAGCAGCTATGTAAATCTCATTAAGGGACATCAAACCCGTTTTTTATAATCAGCAATCTGACAATGAGATTTACATAGCTGCTTGTCACTCCTTTTTTGTTCTCCTTTATAATCCTAGACGAAACTTTCCCACTTCTTTTCACTTCTGCATATTCTAATTTAAGTTCTTAAAGCATCCCCACCTATTCTAAAATGCCGCCTATCACCTCCAACCCAACTCCTGGGAATTCCCTTTTTGTGTTCTTCCTAACCTCTAATTTTTCTGCTGAAAATGAGACTGATATCTCTGTCATTGTGCAATTACAGTAGCATTTAAAGCAATTTGAGGATAAAAATCATCCTCATTTTATTCTCAAATTATATATCACAATTTAGTAGAAACTGTTGTCTTTGTGATAGTGGAGAATATCTGTAGCTCGGGTGTAGGATGAGGATGGAGGTTTGTTTCCCAAGCTTGTAGGTTGATTTCCTAACATTTCGTTACCAGGCTAGGTAACATCTTCAGCAGAATTTAGGGAACGTCAGTGTTGGTGTTCTTCTCCTTATAAGGGCTTCATGTGGTCAGTAGGCCTTGTGATGGTGAGGTTAGGTTAGGTCAGGATCATATCAGGTCAGGGTCTTGTGATGTGTCAGGTGTGGGTTGTGTCAAGTGAAGGTCTTGTAGTGGATCTTGCGAGGGGGAGGTCACGTCAGATGAGGGTCATTGGGAGATGAAGTGCTGGTTGGGGGGGGCTGCGTCGATTGGTTGAGGGTCGGTGCTGTCTCTGGTTGGCTGTGCAGTTTATTTGGATTCTGAGGGGTTCGTAGGCTGGTTGTGGGTCAAGGTGTCTGTTGATGGAATTACTTGTGGAGTGCCAGGCTTCGATATATTGCAAGCGTGGCAGGTGGTAGCATGGCTGATGATTCTTGTATTGCTCCAATAGAATTGGTGCTGTTTCGTGTCAATCTGGGTAGAGATTAGGGATTTGGGATTGTGGCGTTTATCTGTTGTGTTTATGGATGCACCAGAGCCATAGGTTCCTGAACAAGACAGTGCCAAACATACATTGTGATGTAGGGACTCAAATGATGTCTTTTGTAGTTTGGTTTCAGATCTAATGGAGCACTGAAATGGTTTGGTTGCTTCCTCAGAAAGTGCTATTACACAGATTCATGTAGATCTTTTGACATTATTGATCATGGAGTATTAGTGAAGTAGCTCTGTGAGTGGGAAGTAAGCTACAGTGAAAGTGGAAAGTTACTACATCCTTACAGTGGTTACATTATAGAGTCCTACAGTTCTAGTTTTGCTCCTATATAAGAGATGGTCATGCAGGTATCTGATGTAATCAATGTGCACGTGGTATACTTTCCCCTGAAACAGGAAGGGCTATCTACATGTCTCATAATTGCCTGAAGTGAATGAGGGCTAATAAAATGAAGCTGAATCTTCAGTACAGACTTTCTCCAGTTTAAGAACAAGATCCATCCCCAAGTCTTTTTGGAATTTATATGTATATCATATTTAAGAATGGACTATTACTAAAAATAATAGACAGTGTTTTCCTTCCTTGAACTGACAAACTATATATTAAAAATGGATGGCTTCAGCAGTTCATGAATGTGCGGCTTCAGTGGTTCATCAACTTGAAGAATGCTGTCCACCAGTTTTAGAAATAGGCGATCCATTCCCAAGTACAAGTTTGTTTATTAGATTTTTATCCTGTGTTTATTACTTTATAAATAATTCAAGGCAGTGAACACACATAATACTACTTCCTCCTGTTGTCTGTAAATTGGACATTTTTAATCTGGGTACTGTCTGAAACACATGGATGCTCTGGACAGATGATTCTTCGGTTTGAGAATAAAGAAGGTAGCCTAATCTGAATGAAATGTCATTCCTACTAAAGCAAAGGTCTTCAAACTTGACAACTTTAAGACTTGTGGACTTCAACTTCCAGAATTCCCCAGTCAGCCATGCTGGGAGTTGAAAGGAATTCTGGGAATTGAAGTCCACAAATCTTAAAGTTGCCAAGTTTGGAGACCCTGTGCTAAAGGAACATGCACATGGCCTGGGCCTAATCATCTCATAACTGAACTGCTGTCACATGGTCTACAGGAATGTTCTTTTTAAGACAGAGAAATTCCAGCTGGTGCAGCATGCAAACTACTCCATTGGTAAATGGGATATCCAGAGAGGACCATACAATACCTGTCAGACCCTCATTTATTATAGAGGTTTTTTTTCTGTGTTGAGGTCTGCCATTCTGCTTGGAGGGGGGGGGGAGGAGGATGCTTTGCTGTTCTGCTGTTGGGAGGGGGAGGCTGGTAGAGGTGTTAATGGAAGAAGGAATGTGCCCTAGGTCAAGGGGAAATCAAAACCATGAGAATGGTGCCTGGGAACTACGCTTATCACTCTGGTCCCCATAACAACTTCACACCTGAGGATAATAAAACCGGACATTTGGCCGTTGGGGTGGGGTCTGTTAGGGATGCTTTAATGTAACATTTTGCGTGGGAAAATGCTAGATCTTGCTTTGCTTTCTTGCTGTCATTGTCTCTCAATAAAAGTTCCTTTTTAGATGATACCTGTCTCAAGAGTTTTGCTTTCCTGGGAGGACTAGCTGAGGCAAGACCTTACAATACCAATATCTCAAATGCTTTCTGGAGCCAAAGTGATGGTGCTAACATTAGTCTGTAAAGCCTTAAAAATCAGGATTATTTAGTTAAGCATTATCAGTCAATCCCTGACTGTTCTTTGGAAGGATAGATACTGAAACTGAAGCTCAAATACTTTGGCCACCTAACGAGAAGAGAGGACTCACTGAAAAGACCCTGATATTGGGAAAGACTGAAGGTCAAAGGAGAAGAGATGGCAGAGGATGAGATGGTTAGATAGTGTCATCCACACAATGAATATGAATTTGGGAAAATTCCAGGTGATAGTGGAGGGCGGGAAGCCTGGCATGCTATGGTACATGGGGTCACGAAGAGTCGGACATGCTTAACTGAACAACAACAAAATTGTGTATGTGTTCATATCTCTCTGTGTGTGTGTGTGTGTGTGAGAGAGAGAGAGAGAGAGAGAGAGAGAGAGAAAACAATCTTCACTAGGAAAGTTAATTCCAACAATAGGCCTGGCTTTGTATCAAGGGTGATCCTTTGTTCTCTGATCACTTTTTTTCCCCAGTTCCACCATCTATGGAAAAATTGAATTATTCCTCACAATAAGCAAACTGAGGTTGATCTAACCTTCGTGGAACAAGAGAAGCCAAAATCAGATATGAAAAGCAGCAATGGGTGCCAGCCACCAAGGCAGAGGGAATTCAAAACAAGGGGCAGCCCTGGAACAAGACTATAAGTGCCAGTTGTCCTCAGCAAATATTCCACAGCTTTGTTTGCTAACCTTAATCTCCTGCAAATTAGGAGAGACTTTTCTATCTTTATCTCTGCAAATTACATAAATGACGGCTCTTCAAGGCAGTTATCTTACGTATGAAGCAAGACTGGTGTGTTTGTGGGTGCTCAATTACAAAAGAGCTTTCGCATGATTTGGCAGTTGGCTCCCTAAGCAAAAGTGTCCAGGGTACATTTAATTGCCTCTTTGATAGATAAGCCTAGGGAAAGACAATAGTTTGATGCTGAACCGAAAAGATTTCAATTTATAGTATTTTGCAGATCACTCCAGACTCCAACCCTGTCTTCTGAACTTTATCAGAATAGAGAAGACATCTGGAATGAGAGGAAACTGTAGATCACGGATGTTAAACTCGCCGCGTCACATGATGTGTTGTGATGTATCATGACTTTTTTTGCACTGCTGGAGCTGGGGTGAGCGCAGCCTCCACATGACGCAACCGGCCCGTGGGTCAGCAGTTTGACACTCTTGCTGTAGATGAATGCTAGGTGATATATTAGTCTAAGTCCCCTCACTTGTATTTTATTTTTAATAAAAGCAGGCCAACCTATGAACGTGTGCAGAGATATTTCTAATTAGTTTCTATATTTGATTCCAGACATTTCAATCAAAAAAATGTCAAGAATTGAAACTGGGAACTTTTTTTGTGCAACATAGGTGCTCTATCACAGCTCTATAATCTTGTATTTTGTAATGCCCAAATTTCAGGCTTACTGTAGTTCTGAGGGTTTCCAGTTCAAACAAGCACTGTTAAAAGGACTGTGGAAATATTTACCTTTGCCTAAAATAGTCCCTAGCAGTTAGAACAAACAATCCTGGGTTTACTTAATTGATCATTTGATTCTGTTTTGCTTATTATAAAAGGTTACAAAGATAATCCTGGTTCCAATTAAATCCCATTTACTCAGGAGGACACAGGGGCTGTGAACTTACCTATGAAGCAGGCTTTTTATGTGATCACACAAGAATGCAGTGGGCAAATATGCTTCAGACCAGTGTGTCCAACTTCCTTGGTTTTCACAGCTTCTGGATTTTTTTTAGTTCACAAACTAAATCTTTGTGCTGCAGTGATGTCTGAAACAGGGTAACAGACTAAAATTAATAGTACTCATCCAGAAATTCATTTATTTGTACACTTGCTATTAAAACATCCAAAGCCTTACAAGAGACATAAAATTACACAGCAACACTCCCTCCAATTTCAATGAAACAATCATTTTAAAATGATACTATCTGACCATGGTTTGTATAAATATGTTTGATCTGATGCTAATAAAAAAGAATGTAGCTGTAAGGGATTATTAGGTGGAATGCTAAAAGTATGGGATGAATGCAGAAAAAAATTCAGATTTATCACTACTTGTTTTGATATTAAATATTTAACTTTGTGAAGATATTTGAACAATGGAGAGTGTATTTATACAGACTTCAAGAATCTATATAAATAAAAATGTAAATGTTCGTTTGTTCAAAATCTTAAATCTCCGAAAGTTCTTCACTGATTGCTTTGAAATTTTGACACAACGTTGCATTCGAATACGCGCATGTTTTTATATACCTACTATTATATAGATGTCACACCTGTGACAGGTAAAAACATGCATTTTTTGAAAAACAGCACCATCTGTTGGACGTAAAAGCTTTCTCTTTTTTTTCTTTTCCATTTAACCAGACTGAGCCACAGCAACGCGTGGCCAGGTACAGCTAGTTATTAATAAAACAAAAATGAAGTCCTTTGAGATTCTCTCTCAAAATGGTAAGAGAAAACTCACCAGTTTTAATATTGTGGGAAGCCAGCTCCCTACAGAGAAAGAAATATTTAAAAGACAGAATATATTTCCCTAAAGGATTTAAAGGCAGAAACCAACCCCCCCCCCCCAAGTCTGTCTGTCCCAAACAGAAACCAAGTTTGCAGAATGCAGATGTGATAACTTTGTCAGACTGGAGTCAGGAAACTGGGATTAGGAAGTAAGATCCCTAGAATCAACACCAAACATCTAAGAGTCATCAGCCACAGCCCCAGGGAAGCAGGATATGACCCTTGGGACATAATAGGATTAACCCACCACCATCAGAATACCAGAAAGGCACACTCAGACTCAGGTCAAAGTTCATGCCACAGGAACAACTCCAAACAAAAGGCTCAAGAAGGTATAAAAATCCACTCCCTACATTTGCTCACTCTCTCTTTTCTTCCAGAACTATCTTTCTGTCTGGCTCTTCTCTTCAATAAACTGCAACCTTCTTCCTAAAGCAGTCGCCATGTTGTTTATTCCCGTCTTGGACTGAACCATGATGAAGACTTTTCCTTCAACAATATGTATAAATACTCCCAAAGGAATTCCAAAATAAGGTTTGACCAATTTGAAAAACATATAATATGAAATCTATCGCACAAAACTCAGATCAACAAGTTGCTGTTGAAGTATGGTTCAGAAAATGAACAAGTTTAGACTATATCAGTGGTGGCGAACCTATGGCATGGGTGTCAGAGGCGGCACTCAGAGCCCTCTCTGTGGGTATGCGCGCCGTCGCCCCAGTCCTAGGCCTTCAGCTGGATTTTATAAAACCTTTTCGCTTTAGGCCTCCGCTGCTGTGTACAAAAAAAAAAGGTTCAATCAATCAGTCAATTTCAACTTCTCACGGGGAAAAAAAAGATCTTGCAAAGTTGGAATTGATTGATTGAACTTTTTAGTTCCACCCAGTCTGCCATTACCCCCGCAGCCACGCCCACCCAATGGGCCACACCCACCCGGCACCCGACGATGCATAAGTGGGTTTTGGGTTGCAGTTTGGGCACTCGGACTCTAAAAGGTTCGCCATCACTGGACTATATGATCAAACGGATACAGAAGTTTAACAGAACAATTGATATCCAACACTGGAAATACCATCTAGAATAGTGGTGGCGAACCTATGGTACGCGTGCCAGAGGCGGCACTCAGAGCCCTCTCTGTGGGCACATGCGCCATGCCACGGAGATGGCAACCATCCCTCTTCAACCAGCTGCCCGCTAACTCGACGAGGTCCCATGTGGTTGGATGCATCCCAGCACGGTTGGTTTCCCTCCCCCCTGTCCCATCCCTCCTGGCCTCACATGCTCTCCTTTTCCCGGGCACAACCCACTGCATTGCCTCCTCAGCTGTCAGCCGGCCTTCCAGCTTAGAGGCGGCTTCTCTGAACTGCTGGCAGTAGGCTGCAGAGCCCCAAAGTGGGCCAGTTGAGGAGCCGGCAGGCTGTGGCTGCTGACGGACACTGTCGGCCCCCATGCGCTCGCTGGCCTCTGTGTGCGGGGGCCGATGATGTCAGGCAGCAGCCGCCCCGGCCCCTGCCTTGCCTTGCCCTGCAACAATGGCACCTCCACCCTGCCTCGCCTCACCCTACAGGGCGAGCCTCCTGCCCACCGCCCCATCTGCCAGAGACCCCCTGGATCTCCCCCAACCCTGGCCGGCCCCTACAGGCATCCCTTCCCATAAGCAACATCGAGGTGACCACACCCACCCAGTCTGCCATGACCACTACAGCCACGCCCACCCAGTGGGCCACGCCCACCTGGCACTTGGAGATAAATAAGTGGGTTTTGGGTTGCAGTTTGGGCACTCGGTCTCTAAAAGGTTCGCCATCACTGATCTAGAACCTTTATTAGTAACATTACACTTATTTTCTAAAAAGAGCTGGAAATGCAATAGTCATGTTGGATCATTCTTCCACATTTGGTAACAGTGTTATAAGGCAATTCCACAATTCTGGAAAAGAATTTATAATAGAATGAAATAGAAGTTAAAGATGGATTTTTCCTTTCAGCCTATCTTTTTATAAATTAATATTAAACCTTATGTTCCTACAAAATATACTGAACTGAGTTTGTATTGTACTATATATGGGATCATATGCTAGAATACCCTTTCTTACTGAAAACATGAATAGTTTCTCCTATAGAAAAATGGCAAATTAAGTTATGAAATTATGCAACAATGTCAAAGTGACTTTAGAAAACAAATTTGTTATTGAATTTAACTGAATTTCAGGGTTCCTTCTAACATAAAAATATAACATCTAATCTATAAACATTAATTTTGGGGTTTGGTAAATTGTTAAATTTTTCCATACTGTAGAACGTATTGTTGTGTTTCTTCTTTGAGTTCTAATTTATAAATCCATTTATACTGGATTTATTGTAAATTACTGTACAATGATTTGATTGTAATTTGATTTATTTTAACACTGATTCCAATTTTCAAAACAAGATATTTAATATTAATGTCATTTCAATTTAATATTTTGTTAGTTTCATTGTGCTTCTAAACTTTTTTATGCACAACTTGTTTTTTCTATACATTTCCTGATTCTTTTCTGATTATATTATTAAACTTAATTAAAATCTTCAGATACTTAGTAAAAAATAAAAAAAACAATGTGCCAAGGAGTAAGACATAACTATAGTATAGACTATCAAAAGTGTTTTAAAGCAATTTCATTCCAGGAAGACCACCACTTTTGAGAAAAAGACGTTGGAAATTAAACAATTATAGGACCTCTCTGAAACCCTGAACTGTTGAGGCCACGTATAGCTTATGATAGGGGTCCTCAACCCCCAGTCCGTGGACCAGCATCGGACTGCAGAAACAAGTAAAGGCCCATCCAAGGGATGCAGGCAGTAGATGAAACCACGCCTCCTCTGGTCCGCGGAAAAACCTCTCTCCACAGAACCGGTCCCTGGTGCCCAAAAGGTTGGGGACCTCTGGCTTATGAGATAGTGATGTGCACAAACATGGAGAATGACCATCAGCCCTTCCTTTCTTTCACCTACCATGCCTGAAATGAAGCAGTATAGATGAGATGGTGGGGAACTAGGTCACCCATTGGCTTTCAGTAAATGGATGTTTTGGAGCCATTTTGTAACAGAAAACAACCCTCCACGATAGACATTTGGTGAGAGAACCCACACTGTGGCCAACACTTCAAATGCCATCCACCATCTACAAACAGCTGTCTTCTTCCAGGTGAATTATAATGGAAAGTATAGGTATTTCTTGACCATAACTGAGCCCAAAATTTCCATTGCTAAGCAAGACCGTTGTTAAATGAGTTTTGCCCAATTTTACGACCTTTCTTGCCACAGTTGTTAAGTGAATCACAGCAGTTGCTAAGTTAGTAACACGGTCATCAAGTGAATCTGGCTTCCCCATTGACTCTGCTTGTCAGAAAATCACAAAAGGTGATCACATGACCCCAAGCCACTGCTATTGTTGTTAATATATGCAAGTTGCCAAGCCCCCAAATTTTGATCATGTGATTACAGGGATATTGCAATAGCTGTTTAAGTGTGAAAAACTGTCACAAGTCACTTTTTTCAATGCTGTTGTAACTTCGAACGGTCACTAAACAAATGATTGTAAGTCAAGGATTACCTGTATATCACTGCATAAACAACCATCCGAAGCAATTGAGTAAGATAACTAATTGCATATTAGTGGATGTAGTGGTCTTTGTATTTTTAGTAGTGCAAAGGTTTCCAGCATAAGCAGAAAAAAATAGCTTGCAGGAAATAACTCAATCTCCCCGAAATAAATAGAGTATAATGAAATTACATTAATAAAAAGGTATGGTGAGGTATGCAAATCACATTTTTCAATTTCATCATTATGATTCAATTTTTTTACAGTAAATTATATCTGGACCCAATGAAATCATAGTTTTGTCTATAATCTTTTATATTATTTAATCTTTTTTCAAGAATATATATCCTTTTCACAACAGTCCAAGCTCAATATATCCAATGGTTTTTATAAATTGAGAGATTCCAGATTTGGTGGATATTATTTCATATAATTTAAATAAACCATGGCCAGATAAACCTTTAATTTGATTCCACTCAAATATTTTAGATTGATACATTGATTATTTATGAAGGCATCAATACCAAGGATATCCCTGCTAAAATTATATCTCTCTTATGGTGATCCATGTCTGGCTCTGCACAATCATCGTGACATGGTTTATTCCTTTTTTTACTTAAATGTGTTGTGTGTGCCCACCTCTTTTCTTTATTTACTTCTTTTGCTCATGAAAATGGGGCTTTCCCTCAGTAGGTTGGCTTCCTCTCTCCCTGAGCTGCTCTTTTTAATCCAGTTTGAGAAGGCAGACAACCACATAGATACAAATACTTCTTCCCAACCCCTTAAAGCAGCTGCGTCTTTGCCCCATATTGTGCGGCTAACTCTTTAAAGCAATGTTTCCCAACCTTAGCCATTTTACATTATATGGATTTCAACTCCCAGAATACGACAGCTAGCAATGCTGGCTAGAATATTCTGGGAGTTGAAATCCACACATCTACTTTAAAGAGAGTACCGCTACTTTAAAGAGAGGCAGGCAGGTATTACACATGGGTCCCTGGTTGCTCCAAATAACTGTCTTCCTTCCTATTGCTCAATGTTCTGGGTTATCATGATAGTGAACCATAGAGTGATCACGTGGGTCGAGTGCACACAACGTACAAGGGCGAAATGTAGTCAGCCAGCTTGTGGCTGAGTTTTTTCATGCAAATCCAGTCATGTACAGAAAAATGACACAATCGATGATGCACTGCTGGCGGCTGTAGTCCTCGCAGCACCTTGGAACTTACTTCCTTGCTTGTTTTCTCCAAGGAAAAAAATGTGGATAAACAAGCAGTTAATGGAGTTGTTGGCTCAAAGTTCTTCTTGGGACTGCAATGGAAAGTGACCTAGATCACGTTGGGCACATCATATCTGGACTGCAAAACTTCAGATGACCAGTAGAGGTAGTA